GGGAGGGAGAAGAGAAGGGAGACAGGGAAGAGAGTGAATAAGCTAAATAAAGGCAACTTGAGAGCCAAAAATGAAAAATAGAAAACTAGGTACAGAATGAGGGAGAATCTATTGGGAAGAGAGACAGTCCCAAGGACTGAGAGAAAAAAGAAGAACCAATTCAGTAAAAGAGGAAGCCAAGGGAGAGAACAAAGAAGATGTAATAAAATAATACTGCAGACAGAAAGGAAATGGGACATGGTGAGAGAAGAGGCAGAAAGGTGGGGAGGAAAGGCCAGAGAATCCTGGAGAGCTGCTGTGAGAGAGTCCCAGACAGAGTAGGGGCATGGAACACTGTGAATAGGCTAGGCATGGAAAAAAGGGAGTAATTATAGAGAACAGGGGAGGAAGGGTGTATGGAGACAGGAGATATATATGACACAAGGTAGAGATTCACATGTGAGCTGGATCCGAAAGAGCGCAGGGTCAGTGCATTTAAACTAGTAGGATAGAAGTCTTCTGAATGAGAAATATTTTAATAAGGGAAGATTCATCTCTTATTGTACTCTATTTTAGTTCCAGGGTTTCTAAGTAATTTAGAATAATTCATTTTCTGTTAGAGAGTGTAATTTTCAAATATTGCCATTAGATAAATTTTATTTCATTTTCCCAGTATTTTTATCTTTGCCCCCAGAGGAATGGTGAGGACATTATAAGAATGGTGTTGCTATGAAACCATTGTTGTTAGGGAAGAATAGAAATTGTCTAGCCCTGAAGTTGATGTGCTTTCTCAAGTATAGTCCATGATGTGTCACATTATAGGGATGAGGCATATCTGAGCAAAGAACTCACTTGTGAATAAAGTTTTTGTTGTTTGGATTTGTTTTGATGCTGGCGATTGAAGCCAGGGCCTTGCATATGTTAAGCATTTGCTGTACCCATAAGCTACATCCCCCTAAGTCACACAGCAACTAGTTAATGGCAGCAGCTTCTCTTTTTTCTTTTTCCCTTTTCCCTCCCCTCCCCTCCCCTCTCCTCCCCTTCCTTCCCCTTCTCTCCCCTCCCCTTCCCTGGCGATTCTGAGTGTGGAACCCAGGTGTCCTTGCACACGCGAGCCAAGCGCTCTCCTATTGATTTATGCTCCCAGCCCCACTGGAAACTCCTTTCTGGAAGTACAGTTGGTCTGCCACAGTGTTTCATTTAATTTCTATAGCTGTTCTTCTGACCAGTTTAGGTTGCAGTCAAGGTCAAGACGTCATTGGTTATCTTTTCTGAACTAGTTAGCACAAGAGTTTACTTTTTATAGATATGGGAAGAATAGCTTATTCTGTCATAAATTTCACTTTATGTGTGTTGATATTTTTTCCCCATCATTCCACAAAAAATGTTAAAGTAATTTTTAAAAATGTATATATACACCACACTAGATGATATAATCAGTGCTTTGGGGAATCGGGCAAAGGGGGAAGTTGAGGTAAAGAACAGTAAAGTATAAGGTATGATTAGTATACACAAACGTATACCACTGGGTCTTTGTACAGTTGCTAGAAAAAGTCTACAAATTTGGTCCTAAATTTCCTAATATAAGCAAAGAGGGAGATGTGGTCAGTTACTTGTTGCAAGATGTGTAAAATAAAAAATAAGTTATTCCAGAGAAGTATTGGTATTGATTGACACCTGAAACATATCTCCAATGATACAAAAAAGCTTCTACCTGGTAATGAAATTTGGTGATGGGGTTTGTTATCTGAAACACAAATCAAAATTACACTAACCCATATAATGAATGTATAAACATTTATTTTACATAGGAAAGATACAATGCTGTTCTTTCTCGTACTTTGGAACGGAGTAATCTTATGGATCAACGGCAAAAGAGATGGTCATGGGAGGGCTCTACCATGATGAATTCTGAAAACAAACTCGGTAATCAATACAATTATCAAATTTTAGGTTCACTAATGTTCATATTTAAATATTGGCTGTGGGTAGAAGGTTGCTTTGATAGCAAGGTTTTAATCTTTGTGTCCCAAATGAAAATGCTCTATATAGTAAATTTGGAATTAAATTTATGTCATATACCAGTGCAGAAGAAACAGGTAGGATTTTGTAATAGTATATCCCAAATCTTACTTAAATTTATAATCAGGTTAAGAATAATGTATAACTACACAGATTATATAGTGTATATTTAAAAATATAAGATGTCTGCCTTGGTTGCCACTGACTTACTGTAAATTTCCCGATGCGTGGACGTAATTCTACACAACTTCATAAAACATAAGCTAAATTTATTAATTGGTAAGGAGTGACTGACAATGAATGTCATGTGCCTAACTAATACTCCATAGAACTACATCATGAAAACTCATGATACTTTCCTCTTGAAATATGATTAAATACTATATCTTAGTCAGAAAACAATCTGTACCTGCTGAAAAACTTCAACAGGACTCATCTGCTTTCATTAAACAATACCTATGTCACTTGCAGGTCTTCAAAATTTTGTTGCCAAGAGTAAGTAGTTATTTCATTTATTCTACTGAATTTCAGTTTGAAAAAGTCATTTATATATATTTCTACAGTACCACTTATTTAGGTTATGGAACGTCTACATTTCTTTTTTAAAAGTGCCATGTTAATTTACAGTAGAGATTAATATTTTATATGTTTATTAGTATAAATCCTGTAACATGATTTTTTATTAATCATATCAGATGAGCTTGATGGGCTCAGGTAGCTCAAACTGAAACTTATTTTGGTCAAAAGACATTGCGATCAAGTGGCTTTTAAATTAATTCCTATCTAGTTAACTGATAATGAAATTGCGTTTCCTAAGGTCTAGTGAGAGGAGTCCTTCAATTTCCATAAAGTATCATGATTACTACCCCATTGAAGGAAAATAATAGCATATATGTAATAGTGGACAGGTTGGTCTGCTTTACATATATTTGTTACCCACTATAAACTTAAATTGATAGGCAAGTATAATTATATTCCTTGTTTTCTACCTAAGACTTCAAGATTCGGTGATTTATACTTTGACATGCTTTTTTATAGTTTTATTTTGATCAGTTAATAGGTAGATCACAAATTTTAATTGTATTTAAATTGTACCTTTCACTTAAAAGTCTGTCTTTCCCTCAAAAAAATGCTTAATGATAGCTGTATTACCAAGCTCTACTTTGTAATTCTTCATAGTAACAATGTATTGCTGTTTTAAACAAAATGAAGTTATCTACTATGGATACTTCCAGTACCTTATAGTTCCTGGTGTTTGCCTCTTAGTATTGTTTATTTTTGAGAGGTCCGTACCTGGGACAGGGGATATAGCTCAGTGGCACCACATCTGCCTGGCAAGCACAAGGTCCTGAGTTCGATCCCTGGTATCAAAAAAAAAGTCTGTACCTGAGTGTGTATCAGTGACCATTTTTGGCTTGTAGTACATGGCGCTTCTCATTGGTAATTAAAATGTATTAACCATATCCATCTTTCCAGAGGAGAAAATCCTATTTTCTTTCTAGAGAAACAGTAGGTGTGATCTTGGAAAGAAAATTACAAGGAAATGTACATGATTCCCTCAAACTTATCCATTAAAAAAACATGAAGATAGCTGGGTATGGTGCTATGCACCTTCAGTTGCAGCTGTTCGGAAAGCTGAGGAAGTAGGATCACTAGAGGCCAGGGAGTCAGAGCCGGTGTGGCCAACCTACCGAGACTCCCCATCTCAGAAAAAAAAGATGAAGCAACACTACTTGAAATAATAGTTTGAATCTTAACAAGTTTCTTTTATATTAATTTGTGGCCTTGACCTTTTTTTGAGCAATGTTGATGGCTATAAAATTTTAATACCCATTAGACTCTGGGCAATATCTGTTAAATAAATATAATTAATTATAGCAGTGGCTCATTTAGTGGAAAAGATTTCTGGTTTTGTCTAAAACAATGTTGTAGTTGTAATATGTTGAAAGGATTTTGGGGGCAAAGGTTTTCTTCTGTTCATACTCATATTATGTTGTTTGTACTCTTAGGGCTCTTATAATTTCAGCAATGAGCTTGAGAGGTCTTGGATTTTGTTGCCAATCTGAGTGCACCGTATTTTCTCTTAAAATTGTCTAAGTTGATCCACTTATCACCCCCACCCTCACTGTGCTTTCCCAAGCACTTTTGTGTCTAGCCTGAGTTCATTCATAGATTAATGTAGCAAGATTGTCCCCAGTACCTTGCTTGTCATAGGGTAAAACTAATATATTGTCCAGCAGCTAAATCCTGTAGAAATATTAGGTAACATTAATTGCAATGACATGTTTGTGTACTTTCATTCTAATACGTCTTAGTTGTTTCACAACAGATAACTGTTTCACTACCTAATTCCTTTCACAGACTAGCATAGAGATAACATAATGAGCAAACAGTAGTATGCTTTCATTAATATGTCGACTTATCATCTTAATGCGACATGTAAAGAAAAGGGACAGATGATGACTTTCAAGGTAATAGTTCATTTGCACTGAAGGAGTAAGTCCAAGTAACTCTTTGAATGATTTCTTTACTAGTTTTTTTAATACAAGGTTTACGTGGAAGATGCTTTTTGAAATAATTCAATTTAAGGTAAAGTATGGTACACGCTCTGAAGTGATGAATGCTGTACTTGGTGATTCCACAAAAATCTCTTTAAATTTAACTGAAACCTGTTCAGTCCATAGAGATCAACATCCCAAACTCAAATGAAATTCGTAATCTAATATGTAATATTTTAAATAACCTGTTTTCAATTTTGGTTGATTCACTCAGTCTGTTTTTCTTCTCATTGCTGCTTTATAACAAATTCACACTATTTTGTCATTTCTTGCAGTATGCTAATGAAGGGCACAAGACTTACATTTGAATCACTTAGACGTCTGTGTTTTATGCTGCACATTCACATTATCACTTTAAGGATTTTTTCAAATCACACTATATTGTCAATATGCACTAACTTACAAGTCCCCAAAAGAGAATCTCTCTTTTAAACAGACATTGCTAGAGTATTTCGGGTAAAATGGACAAGTGTCTACACTTAAGCTGAGTTGCTTAAATTGTGATATCTGTACCAAAGGTTAATACTCAGTTTTGTTTAAAAAAACACCAGTTATAACTAAGGTATAAATTACTTTTAGTATTAGACATCATGGATTGTTTTAAATTAAAGGTCTTATATTCTTCATTTGGGAACTTGGATGCTGTTTTCCCGGTTAATTTTTGCCATTTTCTAAATAGCTTTTTCATTGCAGGTAACAAAAAATAAATTAGTTTTAAATTTGGAAATGTAGAAACTGCACAGTATTTGAAATTAAATTCTAACAAGCAAGGGTAAAGAATATTTTTTCTAAAAATCTGAAAAGACTAATGACTCTCTCCTGAAATAATATATTTAAGTAGTGTTTGAAAAGTAATTCTCCTTTGCACTTGATCTCTAGGAAAAACGGAAAATAAGAGAAGCTCATCTTTGAACAGAAAAGAGAGCAAAATGCGTTCCTCTAATGACACAGGACATATGGAAGATAAGCCGGGTGATTAGTTATTTTTCAGCATAAGTCTTACGTAGTAGTTTTAAAGAGGTGTATTATGTCAACCTGAGATGCTTAAAAAAGTCATTCCTGAAACTGGAAGCCGAAATGTCCCTTCTTGAACTAAAAATGCATCAGCACCATGCTTATTTGGCAGAAACTAGAAAAGCCTGTCTTTAAATGAAGTATGTATTTCCTGTCATCAGTTGATAAGGGGTCTATAGTGAAGATGAAAAAATAAATTACAAAATGTTATAGGTGGATAAGTTTTATACAGGAGGATTGGATTCAATTCAAACATTTTACCAAGTTGTGTTTAGAAGCTGTAAATTAATGGGCATGTTTTGATCAGTGCTTTACTCTGTCGCCTCATAGCATTACCCACATAGATCTTTTGTGCGTGTTTTCACTGCTGATTATTGTACAAAAATATATTATTATTACTAAAGTACTTCTATATTTAGTTTCTTTTACCCTCTTTTTTTTTCCTGGTACCAGTGATTGAACTTGGGACCTTGAGCTTGCTAGGCAGGCGTTGGAACCACTGAGTTAAATGCCTGGCTCCTTATTTAGTTTCTTTTTAAACTTTTTCCTCTTAGCATTTCCCTCTCACATGTGTTTGTTGCTTTTTTTTTTTTATGCACTTACCCATTTACTTACAGAAGAGCCTACTTAATTGATTCAGGTTAAATCCTATTGGGACAAATGCTATTGTCAGAGGGATCTTTATGAACATAAAGATTTATAGGAGCAAGATATTTACAAATTTCTTTTTTTTTTTTTTTGGTACTGGGGATCCAACATGGGTCCTTGTGCTTGTGAGGCAGGCAGCAGAACCACTGAGCTAAATCCCCAGTCCCACAAATTTCATTTTTAACAAAAGAGTTTCAGTGAATCCCTGGGAGCTTTTGGTAATGAATTTTTGGCCATGGACTGGCTTGAACATTATTATTGTCCATGGCATATATCTGTAAGAATCTCTTTAGAATTCTTTTCATGTGCAGTTTTTTTTCTGCATGTGTGAGTTCCCCCATAGAGACTCCACAGAGTAGGAATTGTTCTGTTAAGTACTTTACCTAGATTTATTCTTTATGTATCGCTGTGGCCATTTGTCCTCTATTCAGGTATTATCTTCCTGACCCTGTGATGTGTTCTGGTGACAGTGTCCAATCCAATTACACTTTTCCTGGGAATGTTACCATTTTTACTGCAGTTCATATTGCTCATGTTCACTTTGCTTTTATTCATGTGTGAGACTGCAAACTGAATATTTTCTGGCTTGTTCTTCTCATTTAGCTCATCGCTTTCATAATAATACTCCAGAGAATAATTTAATCAGTCGTCTTCTCATCCCAACAAAAGCATCAGTGGCCAGAAGCAAAAGTGCTGCCTCATTACCCATCCCAGGAAAAGAAAGTCCAGGTAACTCTCATACACTAGAAAGTGTGAAACATATTAGTGTTTGTACTTGAAAAGTGGGTTCCATCACTGGATTTGTTGCATTTAGTCCTTAAAATAATTTGGTTTTTTTTTCAGCTTTAATTGAGTTTATTGGTACATTTTAGGGATATTTTTTTTGGGATCTTGTATCTTTACGTGACAGGTCTCATTTTTCATTTTTCCCCCTTGTCCCTGCCCTCCCTTCACCCCCTCCTCCCCTCCCCATCTACAAACACTTTATTTTCATCTTTTCATTATCTCACATTTTTTTCTTTGAATCATTAGCTTCAAAACTTCTAGCATAGTAGAGTAATCTGAGTAATGGGTAATTCATATGAAAAGATAGCTATCTTTGGTGGTGATTGTTAAATTTTAAAGCTCTGTGAATTTTGAAAATTCACTGATGTCAAGGAAGAAAGTTTCCTACTCTACTTTTTTCCTAAAATATGGGAGCATACTTTTGAATCTATCTTTAAGCTTTTTAGTTGAGGGCATAAAGATTGTTAGTGGAATAAAACACATCTTCAGGGTTATGTGGCTTTTCTCATTCATAAGTACATTGGGGTAGAAGGTAGCAAGACACCCCCAGTAGTGGAGAGCTCTAAGGCATTGTCCTCATTATTTTCCCCCTCTGCTTTTTCCTTTCCAAAACACATCCTTCCTTTTTGGCTTTTTTTCCTGTCATTATTCACATTAGTAATAAAATGAATCAAAATGCTATAGCCTTCCTCATAGTGCAGCCTTTCTGCTTTTAGTTCTGATTTCCAACACTGTTTATGTCCAGTTACATGTATGTCGTGTTATTTTCTGCCAGTCTTCCCCACCTCCAACTATTGTAAGATTTTTTTGTAATTTTTGTTTCAGTTTAATGGAGCACTGTCATTTAAAAAACTCAATATTTTGCCTTAAATTTCGATAGCTGATCATAATAACAATCTAGTCATTATACTTACATTTTCTGTAATACAAACTGTCGATGTTAAATAAAGATGTGACTGTTTATGTACCTGCAAGTATGTAAAGAAAATGCCTTCACCAAAAATGAGGGGTTAAAAATAACAAGTTAAAAGTCTTATTCAGACATAGTCAATCTTTGATAATTTATTCTATTTTAATTATTTGATGAGCTCATATGAAAATTTTCCATTCATACTTAAAGATGAGGTGGTGAATATATTTACTAAGTTATAAGAAAGTACCACGAAATACCTTTTAAAAAGGGTTTATTATATAAACAATAAATATATAGCATAGAAAAACATTTTAAATATAATCTTCCTACTATCCCAGCATTCATTGGTAACAATAATTTTCTTTGCATTTATATGGTTTTTTTTGCAAACTGAGATAACCTACCTTTATTAAACTCAGTATATATCATTTTCTAGGTCTAAAAATTGCATATTATGTTCATGACTTCCGTAGTATAGTCCAGGTTTTTTTGTTGAAAGTTTGGATGATATTTTCAACAGTTTCATTATTATAAACAGTGGTATAGGAGGCAAACCCATATAGATATTTTATGGATTTATCCTTTCTTTGCTAAGGATAAACATGGAAGTTGAATTGCTAGAACAAAAAAGTATACTTTTTAAGTAGCTCTTGATATATATTACCAAAATGCTAAGGAGAATATACTAATCTATATAACCAGCAGTATATGAAGTTATCTGATTGCAAGCACTGGAATTACTATATTTTTTCATCGTAGTTGACATGGCATCTTAGCATTTTTATTCATTTCCTAGGCAGTGATAATTTGGGTTGTTAAAACTGCAAGGGACATTGGAGACCCTGATCCTTCTGAGTGTCTTAGTACAGTTTTTAGTAGGATGAGGAAATGCTCTTTAATTCTGTTCTGAAACAAATCAAGTATAGAGTGTCTTACATAATCCCCCTTGTAATGGTAAGATCTCTAGCCTAGTGAAGAGGTTCAAATTACTCTTAAAAAGTGTTGAAGATCTTGCAGTTGTCGTGAAAATCAATCTGAGATGCAGTGTGATTAAAGTAGAAATAGCTTATTGCAAACATTAGCTTTGGAGAAGAATCTTATTTTCATCTGTACTAGGACATTGCTATTACAGCAACTCTGTTGTTCGTATTGCTTCTGAAGTATTAATTTCATGTTGGTTCTGTCCTGTGTCTGTGATGCATTTCACCGAGCACTCAGTGTGCTGTGTATAATCCCTGTGATTTTCTAATAGTCTCTTTTGTCTATACATGGTGTTTTTAATCTTGTCAAATTTGTGTAATTTTACTCTGTTCTCATTTATTATAGGCATCAACAAAAAATACCTACTCCAATACATACACATGCCCTCGCGGAGCCATAGTAGTGAGGACTTGAAGACTTCCAGCATGCACAGCAAGTCAACTGAGAAAACACCTCTACAGACCAAAGTAGATGCTGCTCCCCTGGAGAAGGTAGAAACGCCCCTCAAGGCAAAAGTGAAAGTGACTCCCACAGCATCTTCTGCAGCAAGCAGCGAAGAACTCCCCGAGGTGAAGGTGGACTCCGCCCCCCAGGTGAGTATGGATGCAACCCCGGTCGTGAGCATGGACCCGACACCCAGAACGAGCTTGGAGGCAACCCCTGGGATGAGCATGGATACAGTCCCCAGCTTGAGCTCAGAGGCGACACTGGGAGAGAGCACAGACACACTTACTGAATTGAGCAAGGACACATCCTCCGAGGTGAGCATGGACACCTCCTCCCTGACCAGCGTGGACGTATCTCCAGTGGTGAGCTTGGACACCTCCCCGGAGGTGAGCACAGACACTTCCCCTGTGGCAAGCATGGACTTCTCTCCTGAAGGGAGCATCGAAGCCTCCCTGGAGGGTATGCAGATGCTGCCTGAACAAAGTGTGGAAGCTCCCTCTAGGGCGAATACAGAAGCAGGGCCCAAGATAAGTGTGGAGGAACCTTGCAAGGAGAGTGAGGACGCCCCTCCTGAGGTGCTGGTAGAAGCAACCCCCCAGGCGAGTGTGGAAGAGCCCCCCAAAGAGTCCCCTAAGGTAAGTGGTGAAAGCATCTCCAAGACAAAGCTGACTCTCCAGAGGTTTGTCAAGTGCTTTTCACTGAGAAGTTGTCTAATAAGACGCGTGGTTTCGTTGTAGAGAGCACAGTTGGTCAGGCTTTACAATATGACTTATCTGTCATTTATTGTACTCTGCAATAAAAGAAACTAACTTTAATGATTTTATATTCTCTGATGTTCATTGTACCAGCACCCCCCATGCTAGGTTATTAGTTAATTTTTCATACAAGGCAAAAAATGTATCTGTTTATATGAACTCTTTCTAAATTCTGAAGAAAAAGTTTTTGAGAAATATTCCAAACCCTTAATTAAGACTTAGAAATGCGGTTAGGTTTTTGAAGTAAGATTTCTTTTAATTTATTTCTTTGATCTATTGGCTAGTGTAATATAATGTGTTTGTATTGAAGAAAATATCTCTACGGTACCTGGCTTTCATACACTAAAGGAAAATTGGGAGTTTAAGGAACTAATAGCTGTATTTTATTCAGAATGTTTCTCTCTTAGAAAGAAAGCTAGCTGCAGTAAAATAATTGCTGGTAATTTTTTATTACATTGATCTGCTCAGAAACCAGAAGCGGACAAACAGACCTCAAACCCTGTTATCAAGAAGCGCCCATCGGGAAACATACCACGTTACAAATGGCCTTCATCTCCTACAAGGGAGAGGCGTCCACCCTCACCCATAACTACTATGTAAGTCTTTGAAACTGTTCTTCTTAAGTGTTTTACTAGAATAAATTTCATTTCAGTGTTTCACAAATGAAATATATAGTGTACATGGCAACACAAATGTAAAGAAAAAAACTTTAGAGTAGATTTCCTTTTGTGGATTTAAAAAACTCCAAGACAATAATACCATTATCATGTAGTACTAAGATGTGACTAGGGGGCTGGGGATAATAATCCAGGGCTTTGCACATGCTAGGCAACCACTGTACCACTGACAGCCCCAGCCCTAGATACTGTATTTATGAAATTGTATACTAAAATTAATAAGTGCACACTTGTTACTTTTTTCAGGCAGAATCAAAAGAACCGCCCCCCATCACCTTCACCAGTCTTAAAACAGCCATCACAGACATCTCCATCCTATAAAACAGTACCCATTCAACGTCTATTTGTACCAAATGCATTGGGTGCTTTCAAAAAGAAAAGAGAAACTGTCTCTAAAACTACAAATGAATTTGAGGCTGTGAGCCAAAAGCGTATGATTCATGAAGGTACGTTTATTCACTAAGAAGTTTTTTTGTTTTTTTTTTTTTTTTT